GCCTCCAAGACTGCCAAGATGGCCTCCAAGATGGCCTCCAAGACGGCCAAGATGGCCTCCAAGACGGCCAAGATGGCCCGAAGATGCACCCAAGACGGCCCAAGATGGCCTCAAGATGGCCTGAGACTGCCTAAAAGGCCCGCAAGAGGCATCCAAGACTGCCCAAGAGCTCTCCAAGACGTCCTCCAGGAAGGCCAGACATGATTAAAATCATTTGTTTTCATAAGGTTTTGGACGGATTTAGGATCTTGCTCCTGTTCAGCGCTCCGACGGCCCAAGACGGCCCAAGCGGCCCCCAACATCGACCCAAGAGCGCCCAAGAGGCCTCCAAGATGGCCCCATGACAGCCCAAGAGGCCCCCAAGAGGGCCCCAAGAAGGCTCCAAGACGGCCCAAGAGGTCCCCAAGACGCCCAAGATGGCCTCCAAGACTGCCAAGATGGCCTCCAAGATGCCTCCAAGACGGCCAAGATGGCCTCCAAGACGGCTAAGATGGCCCCAAGATGCACCCAAGACGGCCCAATATTGCCTCAAGATGGCCTCAGACGGCCCTATTCGCCCGCAAGAGGCCTCCAAGACGGCCCACGAGCCCTTCAAGACGTCCAGGAAGGCCCGAAAGGGCCCAAATCATTGATGTGTCCTATGTTTTTGAAGGATGTTGGCATTTCCTTCTTTTCAGCTCTCCGACGGCCCAAGACGGCCCAAGCGGCCCCCAACATCGACCCAAGAGCGCCCAAGAGGCCTCCAAGATGGCCCCATGACAGCCCAAGCGGCCCCCAAGAGGGCCCCAACACGGTCCCAAGACGGCCCAAGAGGCCCCCAAGACGCCCAAGATGGCCTCCAAGACTGCCAAGATGGCCTCCAAGATGGCCTCCAAGACGGCCAAGAAGGCCTCTGAGACGGCTAAGATGGCCCCAAGATGCACCCAAGACGGCCCAAGATGGCCTCAAGATGGCCTGAGACTGCCCAAAAGGTCTGTAAGAGGCATCCAAGACTGCCCAAGAGCTCTCCAAGACGTCCTCCAGGAAGGCCAGACATGGTTAAATCATTGGTTTTCCTGAGGTTTTGGACGGATTTAGGATCTTGCTCCTGTTCAGCGCTCCGACGGCCCAAGACGGCCCAAGACGGCCCAATAGGCCCCGAACATCGACCCAAGAGCGCCCAAGAGGCCTCCAAGATGGCCCCCTGGCAGCCCAAGCGGCCCCCAAGAGGGCCCCAACACGGTCCCAAGACGGCCAAGAGGCCCCCAAGACGCCCAAGATGGCCTTAAAGACGGCCGAGATGACCTCCAAGATGCTTTCAAGACGGCCAAGAAGGCCTCTAAGACGGCTAAGATGGCCCCAAGATGCACCCACGACGGCCCCAGATGGCCTGAAGATGGCCTTCGACTGCCCCAGATGGCCCGCCAGGGGCCTCCAAGACGGCCCAAGAGCTCTCCAAGACGTCTTCCAGGAGGCCCGATAGCTCGGAAACCACTTGGTCCGATAGCCTGCCCGACTCGGTGTTCCCCGAAGGCTTGCGAAACCCACTCGGGGGACGCGTGGCTCGATAGCTTGGCCAAGCTCAAGCGCAGCTTTCGGCCACGCAGGCGCTTCCAAAAAGGCAGAGGGCGGCGATGATTCGCCGTAGGCGTCTTTGATCTGCCGCCCCCTGTTGATTTATCATGGGGGTGCCTGGCGTGCTAGACTCCCCCTGGGGCTTCGGCCCGTCACTACGGCCACCCGAAAGGACCACGGCCACCGGAAAGGACCACAAAACTGGACAGTATCTTCCAAGACGGCCCAAGATGGCCTCCAAGACGGCCAAGATGGCCTCCAAGTTCGCCCAATATGGTCCAAGATGGTCCAAGATGGCCTCCAAGACGGCGCAAGAGGGTCCAAGATGCCGCCAAGTCCGCGCAAGAAGCTGCCAAGACAGTCTTAGAGAGCCTCAGAGGCGCCAAAGAGGCCTCTACGACTGCCCAAGAGGCGTCCAAGACGCCCACCAGGAGGGCATGCAGAGGCCAACTTTTTGAAGGATTTTGTTATGTGCTTCTTTTCGGCTTTCCGACAACCCGAGACGGTCCAAGAGGCCCCCAAATATCGCCCCGAGATCGCCCAAGAGGCCTCCAAGACGGCCCCAGAACGGCTAGACCCCCAAGACTGCCCTAAGAGGGCCCCAAGACGGCCCAGGAGGCCTCCAAGATGCCCAAGATGGCCTCCATGACGGCCCCTTGAGCACCCCAAGAGGGCCCCAAGTCGGCCCAGAGAGACCCCCAAGACGGCTTCCGAAGGCGTCAGACGGGCCAGGAGGCCACCAAGACGGCCCAAGGTGGCTCCAAGGTTCTCCTTCTCGCCTCCCCCCCGGGGCTCGCCGCCGAGTTCGAGGTTTCCCCGGTCATAACTCGAGTCTCCAACGGCCGTTCGGGACGATCTGGGCACCCGCGGAACGCTCGCGAGGCGCAGCTGCCGGAGAGCACCCCGCGGCGGGAACACCGCCGAGGACCAGCGAACACGCCCGAAAGCCTGGAGCCTCGGACCTCGAGCCTGGCCAAGCCAGGCTGGCGATTTACGGGACGGGAAAACAACCACAGCCACTGTTTTTTCTTGTGTTGCCGCCTTCCAGCCAGCAGAAACAGAGCAGCGGTTGTGGTCGTTTTCGTTAGGCCTGGCACCAGGGAAATGACCACAACCGCTGCCTCTTTTTCGGCCGGCTGGAAGGCGGCGCAGACAAGAAGCAGTGGCTGTGGTCATTGTCCCGTCCCGCACGACTGCTGGCCGGGCCAGGCTGGCGCCTCCACGGATCCTGGGTCCGGGGCGGGCCTCGCCGGGGTGCCCTGCGTCTCGCCGCAGGCGCGGGCGGTCCCTCCTCCGACGGGAGGAGCCTCGCCTCGCCTCGCGGGCGCACGGCGCGCCGTGTGCTCGGAGCGCCCGTCGTGCGGGGGGGGGGGGGGGCCCGCGACGCAGGGTTGGCCCGAGGCCGTCGGCGGCGATGCCCCTCGGGCGCTCACGGCGGCCCCTCGCGGGCCACGAGCAAGCATCGCGGCGGGGAGCTTGTCGCTATTTTCGGCCTCTGGGGGCCCTTGCGGGCCCTCGGGGGCCGTCGGAGAACGACTCGGGAGGACGAGCCGGTCCCGGGGGAAGGGGTCGAGACTTCTGGGGGCCGACGTCACGGGCAGGCTACGACGTCGGGGCCCTTGGGACAAGTGGAGCCCAGGGCGGAGCCAAGGCGCCGACGCGAAGACCCCCGGGGGCTCCTCGAGGGGCTCTGCCGCCGCGCAGCTCCAGGTCGGGGAGCCCCCTCGTGGCCGAGGCTCGCCGCGGCCAATGGGGCCCCTCTCGCTGCCCCACTCCGCGCCTCCTCCTGTGCCGGCGCGGTGGCCGCACGTGCAGGCGGGCCGTCGGCGCCCGTGCGCAGGAGAAGAAGAAGAAGGGCACCGCCAAGGAGAACCGGGCCGCCGCGCAGGACCCGCCGCCACCGCCGTCGCCGTCGCCGTCGCCGTCGCCGTCGCCGTCGCCGTCGCCGTCGCCGTCGTCGCCGTCGCCGTCGTCGTCGCCGCCGTCGTCGTCGTCGTCGTCGTCGTCGTCGTCGTCGTCGTCGTCGTCGTCGTCGTCGTCGTCGTCGTCGTCGCAGGACCCGCCCGCCGCCGAGTCCGCCGCGGCCTCGCCGCCGCCGCGGGCGCGCGACCCGCCCTCTGCGGCGGGCGGCTCCCCCGACGCCCTCGGCGCCGTGGCCGAGGCGCCCCCGCGGCCCCCGAGCGCGGACGCGGCCTGCGGCCTCGCCGCGGCCGCCTGCTCGCCGGAGGCGCCGCAGCGCCCCGAGGCGGGCGGCGCGCTGGGCGGCGGCGCCGGGCACGCGGCGGAGCGCCGCTGGGGCCCTGGGCCGCCGCCGCCCCCGGAGCGCCCCAGCGCTGCAGCGCCGGCGGGCTGCGGGTCGGAGGGCAGAGGGAAGTCCAGGCCTCTTATATAGATGGGGTCTGAGTATGGGTGGGGTCGGCGGAGGGCGCCGCATCGCCGATGCATCGGCGATGCGGCTCAATGCGGAGCCCGACTTGCTTCGCGTCGGCGTCGCCGATGCATCGCCGGCGTCGACGGTGCATTAGTGGTGCGGCGGACTGGCGGGTCGGAGGGCAGAAGAAAAGGTACCTCGCAGGCGGTCTTTCTCCCCCAGCCCCCGACTTTGCCTGCGACGAAGAAGGAAGCCGCTAAGATAAGGAGGGGAGCCTTGGGATACAGCCCCAGAGGGCTATTCGGACGCACTCCTATCGAGGATGGACGCTACCCCTACCGTATATTCCAGGGTTGGGTCGATTTTTTTTTTGGTCTAATCGAAAACCCCACGAAGCCTGGGAGAGGAAAGGTACAGTTGGACCGAGGTAGTGGAAGGTCGAAGTCGGCTCGGGGAGGGTACCCTAGTGTTCTTCGTGCTTGCTGGATGTTCTTGTGCATCCTGGGGAGGATGCCCTTGGATGCTCTGCTCGTTTCGACTGGCGGAGGGTCCCGGGCTCTTGAGGGATGTTCTTCTGGGACTGTACCGGCAGTCCCAGACCACCTCGGGTCATGAACACAAATCATGGGTGGGAGTTTTCCGCTCTTCTGGGGGCCCTCGCCGGCCCTCAGGACCGTCCAGGAACGACTCGGGGTGAAACACTGGTCCAGGGGAACGGGTCGAGAGGAGGAGGAGGAGGAGGAGGAGGAGGAGGAGGAGGAGGAGGAGGAGGAGGAGGAGGAGGAGGAGGAGGAGGAGGAGGAGGAGGAGGAGGAGAATGAGGAGAGACTGCTGGGGGCCGACGTCGCGAAGACATCGTGGCGTCGGGGGTCTGGGCCTGCCGCTGCCCCTGCCTTGTTCTGGCTCGCTTAAGGGGCCTCCATGGGCTGGCCCTCGCCGCCTCCTCGGCTGCCTTCGCCTCGGGCTCTGGGCAGAGCGCGCCCGGGGAGGGGCCCAGGGACAGCAGCGGCACATCGATGCCCCGCCGCTCCCCCAGCGGGAGGCCCGGCCCCGCGCCGCCGCTGTTCGGGCCCGCGGCGCCGGCCCGCGGCAGCGGCGCGCGCTCCCTGGGCGCGCCGGTGCCCGGGCAGGGCTCCGCGCCGTGCACGCTGCGCGTGCGGGTGCTGTGCGCGCACCGCCTGCCGAACAGGGACACGGGCATGTTCGGCGACGTGTCGGACCCGTACGTGGTGGTCCGGGTCGGCGCCGAGCACTTCCGCACGCCCTCCATAGACAACGACCTGGACCCCGTGTGGGACAGGGGCAACGAGTTCTCCTTCACCGTGGACCCCAGCCCGCAGCTCCTCCTGCAGCTGGAGGTGATGAACGCCAACGTTTTCAGGGACGACCTGCTCGGCAGCACCAGCCTGGCGCTCGGCTCGCTCCCGCCCGGTCAGCCCACCCGGCGGCGCGTCAAGCTCGACGGCTGCCCCGCCGGCGAGCTCGAGTTCGAGGTGCAACTGGGGGGCGCCAGCTACGCCTGGACCGCAGGGCGCGCCACGGCGCAGGGCAGCGGGCCGAAGCTCGAGTACCAGCTCGGCCCCGAGGTCCGGCAGCCGCGGAGCTGGGCGCTGGCCCTCGAGGGCGTCCGCGTGCTCGAGCTCACCCGCCGCACCTGGGCCGCGCCGCTGTGCGGCCGCATGCTGGCGGCCAGCGGCGCGGACGTCGTCCGCGTGGCCTTCGGCGAGGAGGCAGAGGCCGTCCGCAAGAAGAGCGGCGGGGTGCTGCGGCCGCAGCCCGACGCCCACCGCGCCAGCGCCGACAGGGCCAAGTCCTCCAGCGCCCCGCGGGTGCTGCACGCGGGCAAGCGGCAAGCGCCGCACCATCCCGGCGACGAGCAGGAGATGGCCCACCTGCGGGCCGAGCTCCTGCCCGGGTGCGACCTGCTGCTGACCGACCTGCCCGCGGACGAGCTGGACCAGATGCAGCTGGGCTTCCGGCCCCTGCGCGAGCAGTTCCCGGGCATGATCTACGCGCACGTGTCCAGCATCGGGATACTGGCGGACAGCGGGCAGCGCGGGGTGGAGGACTCGGGCGCCTTCTACTGCCTCACTGGGCTGGCGGAGCAGCTGGGGCACTTCCTGGGCCCCGCCGGCTTCGCCGCCGCCACGGCCGCCCCGGCGATGTTCGGGGTGCTGTGCCTGGCGGTCATGCGCAGGCGGTGCGGCACCCCGGGGGACCGCGTGGAGCTGAGCCTGTTCCGCACGGGGCGCTGGTGCACAGCCGTGGGCGCGTGCACCAAGTGGGCCAGGCCCCCCCAGGTGGACAGCCGCTTCGGCGCCTGGGCGCCGCTCGGCGCGCAGCCCGCGCCCGCCGTGCCCTTCGACGTGGAGGGCGCCGCGCTGCTGCAGCCGGGCGAGGGGGCGCGGAGGGCGGCGGCGCTGGAGCCGATGCACCTGCGCTGGCGGGACTGCGACCCCGCCCTGCGGTTCCCGCCGCCGCAGGCGTCGAGGAGCAAACAAATGGCACAGCCGTAAATTGTTGGAGCTCCACGCGGATTTCGTGCATCGGCGCTGTGACCCTCCTGGCGGCGCCTCTGGCGCCGCCCTTGGCGCGCTCCGCGCGCCAAGCAGGAGGGTCCAGCGCCGATCCAAGAAGTCCGCGCGGACCTCCGACAGTCCATTGGCTGATGCAGTTTTTTTCTTCTTCGAAGGCGGGGAGCCCGCTGGCGTCGGAGCTGCCCCTCTCCCGGGTCAGCGTCATCGAGATCAGCGATGAGTACCACGTCTCCGCCGCGGCTCTGGGCAGCATGCTGGCGGATCTGGGGGCGCAGGTCACGAAGGTGGAGAGGGCGTCGCGCCCGGACCCGTGGAAGAGGACGTGCCCCGCGCTGTACCACGACCTGAACAGCAAGAAGGCCGTGCAGGACCTCGATTTCACCACGGTCCCGGGGCAGGCCGCCGTGTACCGCACCCTGGCGGACACGACGGCGCTGGTGACCAACCTGCCCGCGCAGGCCCTGGAAGCCTGGGGCCTCGGGGTCGAGCGGCTGCGGGAGATGTTTCCGCACCTCGTGGTGGTGCAGGTGGGGGATCCGCAGGATGACTGGGTAGGAGGAGGAGCAGGAGGAGGAGGAGGAGGAGGAGGAGGAGGAGGAAGAGGAGGGAGAGGAGGAGGAGGAGAGGAGGAGGAGGGCGGAGGCGGCGGCGGAGGCGGCGGAGGAGGAGGAGGAGGAGGAGGAGGAAGGAGGAGGAGGAGGAGGAGGAGGAGGAGGAGGAGGAGGAGGAGGGGGAGGGGGAGGATGATGATGATGATGATGATGAGGAGGAGGAGGAGGAGGAGCAGGAGGAGGAGGGGGAGGAGGAGGAGGAGGAGGAGTGCGAGGATGAGGGAGGGGGAAACAATCACAGACTTATGAACACACAGCAGGGGAGGATGAGGAGGAGGAGGAGAAGGAGGAGGAGGGCGAGGAGGAGGAGGAGGAGGACCAGTGCAAACCCTATATCCACTAACGATGTTGCAATAACCCCCTCTTTATAAATACCCGCAAGGCTTCATTTTCACCGAGGGACGTGTTCCGTTGGAAGACAAGCGTCTAAAAATCCGGAACCGTGCCAGAACACCGTTCTTGGGACGTCAAGACCGCGAATCAATGTTATTGTTGCGTCCTGACGAGCCACAATCGTGTCGTACACCATTTCTGTGCGTCAGCACCGCGAATCAGTGTAAGTGTAGCGCCCTGACAGTCCGACATCGTGCCAAAACATTCTTTCTGGGACGTCAGCCACAGGACTCCTTGAAACTATTGTGAACTCTTAAAGGTGAATGTGCGCGGTGCTTAGGAGAGAGCCACATGTTAAGCAGGCGCCGCCCTCCATCTGTGAAGCTCTTGCAAACTCGTAAGATGAATGTGCGCGGCGCTAAGGCGAGAGCCACGTTTTGAGAACGACCAGCCTTCCATTCTTGAAGCTACTTCAAACTGTTAAGACGAATGTGCGCGGCGCTGAAGCAAGAGCCACATTTTGAACAACACCGACCCTCCATCCATGAAGCTGTTCCACTTCTAAGTTCAAGGATCATAAATGCGGAGGAAATCGCAGGGGAAACGCCCGGCCTGCCCTACCGACACGTTTAGGGGCGCGACAGGGAGGAGGAACAGTCATGGAGGAGGGAGGAGCAGGAGGGGGAGGGAGGAGGATGAGGAGAAAGGCAAGGTTTACAACCCTGACGCTTCGATTCCAGTCTATCTCAGCTTGCCTAACCGCCTGACCCAACGGCTCCAATAAAGACATCAAGGTGGTATCGCTTTGCGCGGGCCCCAGAAAACCAGGAACCCTTCACTGTAAGGTTGCAGGTGCCGCAGGAGATCTTCAATGCAATGTTGCAGGTTTCGCTGACAACCGTTTTTCGTTGTTTTGTTTCTTTCTCTCTCTCTCTCTTTCTCTCTCTCCTGCTCCTATACCGTGGCATCGTTTCTCTCTCTCTCTCTCTCCCTCGCTTTCTCTTTTTCTCTTTGTCTCTATTTATCGTTTCGCTGGTTTCCTTCTCCGTCCCCCCCTCTCTCGATTTCTCCACCTCTTCCCGTCGCTCTCTCATTCTCTCTCTCTCTCTCTCCCTCTTGCTCTCTCATTCTCCCTGTCTGTTGCTTTCGGGCTCTCGGGATGGCCCAATCGCCGCCGCGGCTGGAGTCGGTCGGAGAAGTTGTGTCGTGAGCGTGGGGCCTCCGTTTTTATTTTCTCATTTAAATTCTCTCTCTCTCTCTCTTTCTGTCTTTCCATCTCTCTCTCTCTCTCTCTCTCTCTCTCCCCGTCCAGGCTCTCAACACTGGCCGCTCTAGTTCTCTCCCTCCTTCTCCCTCCTCTCTCCTTCCCTTTCCTTTGTTGTTCTCTCTCTCTCTCTCTCTCGCTCTCTCTCTCTCTCTTTCTGTTTTTGTTTGTTTTCTCTCTCTCTCTCTCTCTTTGTCTCTCCATCTCTATTCCCCTAGTAATGCAGTAATTCGTTTATTCAATCAGTCATTGAGTCATTGATTCATTTATTCATTCATTTACTCACGCGTAGTAATATATATATATATATATATATATGTATGTATATATATATATATATATATATATGTGTATCTCTCTCTCTCTCTAGATGCTTACGCTCTTTCGTTTTTTTTTGTCGCCCCATCCATGTCGGCTGAAACAGAGGCCGCCGCGTGGGCCTTTGTGCCTCGCCCCAGGCCCACGCGAGCGCCCGCAGGCGATCGCTCAGGCGGGGGCCCCCGCCCCGTCTTTCCTGTCATCGATGGGCATGCCTTGCCTGTTCCGTGGGGCAAGATGCAGCATTGGCATGCCGTGGGCGTGGTGTCCAGCGGGTTCTCCAGCCTGCCATGCCTGCCCACGACCGCCCCGGTGATCGAGGATCCGGGATCGCCGCCCCCCTGACGGCGTGGCTTCCGCCGAAGCGGGTTCCGCAGTCGCGGGGCTCGCGGTCAAGGCGCCGGCTGCGAGCACCGACCAGGACGGCGAGCGTCGACGGACAAACGGCGGGCAAGAAGAGCAAGAACGCCGCGGGCCCAAGGCGTCAGGCCGAGGCAACAGCGAGTCAGCCCAGGCCCGGGCAGCACCGAGCCAGCCCATGCGGCGGCCGAGCGCAGCCCCACCAGCTGCCTCAGCCGTCGCCCCGCCCGCCGTCCTACTGCAGCAGGCCCCAGTGCGTGCCCCGCCGATGCATGCCCCGCAGACTCAGCCGCGGGCCTTGCCTCCTGGGGCATCGCCGGGGCCGCCCCCGCACACGCCGGCGCCCGAAGGAATCTGGCTCCTCCTGCCACCTCCTCTTGCGTCTGTATGCGCAGCCCGACTCCGGCGCTGCAGTGGCCGCAGTGGCGGCCTCGCCCAGCGGCGATGACGCAACGTGGCCGCAGCGACCGCTCCCGTGCGCCTCGACAGGCTGATGGGCACGTGTGACTTTACAATGCCATTGCCTGCTAGCCCAACGCCGCCCTTGCCGCGGCAGCAGTTCCACTGGCAGCGTGTTGACAGCAGCGTATGGCAGCAGCCTCCCTGGCAGCACGACGACCACCTTTGCACGCCATATGCGCGGGCAAATCCTGCGCTGCACATGCGCCAGCGCGTCTTTTCTCAAGGCAGTGGCACACAATGCCTGCATCAGAGCGGGCATGCCGTGGTCGCAATGGCGGCACACACACAGCCATCGCCGCAGATGCAGCATCAGTAGAACCAGCATAACCACTACATGAACGAGAGACTGCTGGAGCAGATGCTGGACAGTCTACAGCAGTTCAACGAGCAGAAGCAACCGTTGAACCAATGGAAAGAAGAGAACTTGGCGCTCCACAAGAAAGTCGACATTTTCAAAGATCAGCGGGCCACCGGCGACTGGAAGCAGCAGAACCACAACTGGTGGATGTACATGTGAAGGTTTGAGGGAGGAACAGGCCGCAGTAGCGTCCTCTCTCGCGCGAGCCCCGCGCGAAACGCAAGCCCGCGGGCTCGCACAGAAGAGAAAGAACCGCTTGACTCCTCTCTTGCTTCTTCTCCTCTCTTGCTAATCATCCCTCTCTCCTCCTCTCCTTCTCCGCCTCCTCCTCCACCTCTTCCCCTTCCCATTCTAGTTCTCTCTCTCTCTCTCTCTCTTTCTCTTCCTCTGCGTCTCTGCGTGCTGTCTCTCAGTACTACTGTCTGTTAATCTGTCTGCCTCCCTCTCTCTCTCTCTGTCCCTCCCTCCCTCCCTCCTTCCCTCGCTCCTCTCTCTCTCTCTCTCTCTCTCTCTCTCTCTCTCTCTCTCTCTCTCTCTTCTTCTTTCGCACTAAAGTGATGTAAGACGAAACGGGCCGAACCTGCCCCTGAGCGAACCTGTGACCTTATAGAATGAAAGGCTCCTGGGATTTGCAGATGTAGCACCTGGCCGTGTTTCACATGGCCGTCCGATGGCGCCAGGAAGGCGGGCGATGAGGATGGACAGGGCTGGACCTAAACGGTGTTTTGGCGATTTCGTGGGCCGTTTTCCTTTCGATTTCGTTTTGCGATAAAGGCGGATTGAAGACACAACGAGGGACAACGAAAACAACACGACAACGAAAAACACCGTTTAGGTTCAGCCCCGAGGATGGACGCGCAGAGTACATGAAACAAAGCAGAAGAGCAACAACAACAACAACAACAACAACAACAACAACAATTACTAGCACGTGGGGACACTCCGTTCTCACCAGTGCCAGGGTTTTCATAGGAGGCGGGCAATACCCCCACTTTGTGGGGGGGCCGGTTCAAGCTCTACCAAATTTCCAAACGACTCTTCGCCACCACCCACACCCAGCTTCCCGCCCTATGACGTTCGGACACTTCACTTCGTGGCATGCGGACGACCGTGGCTACTATTCAGGGCCCCGCGGCCGACGACGACGGCGTGCGCGCGCGAAGAAAAAACGAATGTGTCCCGCATGGTATTATTTGACAGGGATGATGGCCCTGGCAGGTGCGCAACCGTTGTTGCAGAAGTTCGAAAAAGTTGCTCGCAAAAGCCCGTTTGACAGAAATGTTTAAAAAGTGTTGGGTTTCCTACGAATCCGCAAGAGCGCGCGGGATGAGATTTTGACAATTTTTTGTTGAAAAACCATTGGTTTTTTGATGTTTTTATGTTAAAATCGCTGCGAACACTAAGGTTTTGGAAGGATTTCGTCTTGCGCGCGCGAATGTCCACTTTACCTTATTTTTTGCAAGGGATTCTTGAAATTTGATTATATTAGAACAAGAAATGTCATTTTCTATTGTTTTTTGCAAGGGAAAGCGGATTACAACAAAACAACCGGATCCTGTACACACCCTCTTTTCTGAGGCTTCCTCACGAAAATGATGAAAATGTAGCTGCGGCCTAGGCGGCGCAGGGGGGGCGCGCACCAGGGGGCCCAACAATAATTATTCTTTAGAATAAATAATGTTCAACAACAACAACAACAGCAACAACAACAACAACAAAAACAGGTCAGCACCTGGGGGCGCGACGCGCGGGCCCTCGCCAAGGAGGCGGCCGACGCGCGGAAGGGCGGGCAGGAGGTGCACGCCTTCTGGGAGGCGAGCGGCCTGGCGGCCCGCTGCTTCAACAACCTGGGCACCCCCCGCCGCCGCCCGAACCGCCCCGGCCTCCGAGGAGAGCGAGGAGGAGGAGGAGGAGGAGGAGGCGGAGGCGGAGGAGGAGGAGGCGGAGGAGGAGGAGGAGGAGGAGGAGGAGGAGGAGGAGGAGGAGGAACATCCAGATCTCCCTCCCTCTTTGGCCCTCCACGCGCCTCGGGGCGCGGGGCGGTCTGGCGGCCTCCTCCTCGCCCCCTCTCCGCCGGAAGCGGAGCTGGGCCATCCCGTGGTGCCGGAGGGGGCCTCCGAGGCCGCGGCGGCCCCGCGCCCGAGCGCGGGCGCCGCTGCGGCGGGCGCGGACTCGGGATCGCTGCCCTGGCGGTGCGCAGCGGGAGGAGCATCTGTAGGATTCCCAGGTGGGGTCAGAGCTCGGTATCGTTGCACCGATCCCCATCCCCCTCCCCCTCCAAGCTTCGAGGCCCCCACCAAGATTTCCACCCCAGCGGGGGGTACGCCCCTCGAGACCCGAAGGGAACGACCCATATCCCCACCTTGGGGGGGGGTCACTCGGCCAGCGGGGCCCAGGTCACGCCGCTGGGGATGGGGCTCGGTTGAACGACACTCGAGAGCAGACGGGGTCGGAGGATCGCCGCGCATCATGCGGAGCCCGATTCTCTCCACGCCGACGGCGCCGATGCATCGGCGATGCATCGGCGATCCTCGGGCACCACCTCTCCGGACCCCCCATCTGGGAAGCTCCCGAATTACGAGGGGGGACATTCAGACATTCGGAGGAGGAGGAGGTCACGATGCCGCCGCCCCTGCGTCGTGTTGGCTTTTTGGGGGCCTCCGGGGGGGCCCGCGTTGCCGCGGCGGGGTTCGCCTCGAGCTTCTGGTCAGAACGTGCCCCAGGAGAGGCCTGGGGAGCAGCGGCATCGATCCATTTGGGCACCTCGCCATCGTCAGAACCGCCCTGGCCCCAGATCTCCGATGATGTACAGTCGGACCGAGGTGTCAGATCGAGGTCGGTTCGGGCAGGGTACCCTCGTGTCTTTCGTGCTTGCTGGATGTTCTTGTGCATCCTGTGGAGGACACCCTTGGATGTTCTTCCCTCTGGGCCGGCGCAGGGTCTCATGTTCTTGAGGGGAGGAGGAGGAGGAGGAGGAGGAGGAGGAGGGGGAGGATGAGGAGGAGGAGGAGGAGGAGGAGGAGGAGGAGGAGGAAGGAGGAGGAGGAGGAGGAGGAGGAGGAGGAGGAGAGGAGGAGGAGGAGGAGGAGTGGAGGAGGAGGTGGTGGAGGAAGAGGTGTAGGTGCGAGGAGGAGGAGGAGGTGGAGGAGGGTGGAGGAGGAGGGCGAGGAAGAGGAGGGGAGTGAGGAGGAGGAGGAGGAAGAGGAGGAGGAGGAGGAGGAGGAGGAGGAGCGAGGAGGAGGAGGAGGAGGAGGAGGAGGAGGAGGAGGAGGAGGAGGAGGAGGAGGGGTGTTCTTCTGGCCTAGGTCCGATGATGTTTACCCCCCCCCCACACCACCACACACACACACAATGCGGGTGTCTTTCCTCGATCCTCGGACTGTGGGACCCGCTTTCGAGCCGCGGGGCGGGGCCATCAAGGGGTGGGCTCGATACGGAGATGTGGCCCCCGGGAAGGGATTGGGCCCTGGACATCCCCTCGCGGAGAGGAATGGGAACTCGCCCTCCCAGCCGTCGGTCATGAAATTGATCTTTGCCCGTTTCTGCACGAGCTCCGTCATTCGCCGTGCGCCCAGCGCTGGCGTGGGCGCGCGACAGACAGATTGAACCGGGCCGGCTTAATCGAGCCATGCCAGGCTTGCTGTAAGCGTTGTCAGATGAATCTCCTGGAAAACGAGCTCCACCTTTATTGGCAGTGCCTTGCCGATGACGAGATCAGTGAATGTTCCAAGTCGAACCACCTCAGGGATCGCTCCATCGCGGAGGCGGCCGACACTCCTTGTTTTTGGCTCCGCGGAATGATCCCGAGTGGCTGTACAGAGTGCCGGCCCCCTCAGAAGAGCTGCGCACCTGGGAATGGGCTTTCAGCCATGGCCCGCCTAGTTATTCCCTGGGGGTTGAATGGTGTGAAGCGGGAGATGGCACTGGAGGGCCTTTTAGCAGCGACCCCCGCATTCGGAGGTGTAGGTGGGGTTCTGTCCATTTGGCCTCAACCGCCGCCGCCCTCACTAAAGAGACCCTCGAGGACCTTGTGGGCCGAGACGGCACCTGCCCAGGTAGGCTCCAGACCGTCAATCGAGCAGAACTCATGGCCGTCACCCAATGGTTAAGACAATATGGGGAGGCTGGCAGAAGCTGCCAATGTATCACACACTCCTCGTGTTTTTCGTGGATTCCACAGGGGCCCAGCCAAGTTGCCACAAACGAATCGTTACCCGTGGAGGGTTTTGTGGCGATTGCCATGCCACGCTCAGGCATGTTTCTTTTGAGTCGTGCTGACGATGCTCGCGCCCAGGAGTTACATATCCCCGAGCTGTAGATATACGGTAATGAAGCAGCGGACGAGCTTGCAAAGCAGGCGGCCGCCACGTGCCAACTTCCGCCTGCCCACGTTGACAGGATAGCCGAGGTGGAAGAGCTGGCATCACTCGTCCGACATCGATTTGGCTGTGGTGATCGAGTCCTGCGCGGAGGTTGACGTTCGCCAGAGGGCCGATCAACCGCAGACTCCGCCACCCCAGCCCCGTCTCACCCGTTTCCAGTAGGCCATGAGGGTTTCGGAGCATAACCTAAAGATGGGGGTTGGGATCCGAGGAACATGGCGCCTCTGCTGCACTGAAGGCCAGTCAGGAACTGGAGGCCGCAAGGAGTGCCTTGCCTCCCCACGTCTTGGCGGGAGCCCATCTCAGGCTCACATCCCTGCGGCCCACCAGAGCCTCCAGGTGGGCACCCGCGGGCCTCACGAGTCCCACCAGGTCGAGGCCCATCCCCTCATGGCGATGTGCTGCGGCATGTCTGGCGGGTCTGTGGCCGCCAGGGGAGGTGGCGTGCTACGAGGTCTAGCTCTGACGTGCAAGCCCCCCGGGAAGACGGGCAAGTCCAACCGCCGAGAGATCGAGAGGAGAGCGCGGCCTGCGCGTGGAACGCCGCGCGAGGCCTGCTCAGACGGAGGCGAGCGCGCAGAGCCTAGCCGTCTCACCCCGGTCACTGGCCTCCCCTGAGGGTGTGCGCACTCCTCCTCCTCCTCCTCCTCCTCCTCCTCCTCCTCCTCCTCCTCCTCCTCCTCCTCCTCCCCCTCCTCCTCCAAGAGGGAGGGGGCGGGGGTCTGCACCCCTGGGGTCGCGGAGATGGGGCGCCGCCTGGGCACCAGCGTCAGAGGCGCCCTGGCCACCCCTCGCGGCTCCCGGGAGGACCGCACACCGATGCCGCCACCCCCCTTCGTGGCAGGCCCTCGTCGCCACGCCCCGGGACTCGCCGCGGGATCCTGGGCAGGGCGCGCCACGGGAGAGGCCCCGAGGAGGCGCGGCAGCCCCCGATGCCTCTTCGCTTCCTCCGGGCACCCGCCACCGCCAGAACCGCCCCGTGCCCGAAGAAGAAGAAGAAGAAGAAGAAGAAGAAGAAGAATAAGAAGAAGAACCAGCAGCAGCAGCAGCACATGAGCATACGCTTTCGGAGGTCCGCTCGGCTTTTTTGAATCGGCGGTGGGCCCCCTTCCCTGGCGCGCGGAGCGTGCCAGGGAAGGCGCCGGAGGCGCCGTCCAGGGCGTCCTGCGCGGATCCGGGACATCCGCGTGGACCTCCGAAAGTTTATCCTTCTGCTGTTTTTGCCCAGGTGTCCCCAGGACTTCTAAGGTGGCCCCACGGCAAGTGGAGCGAAAAGCTGGTGGCATCGTGGGTCAGGGACACCTGTAGCAATCCCCGACAGGGGGTGTAGGTCGGCCAGTGGGGCCGAGACCTCTCCGGTGGAGGGTGGGGATGGTCTTGCCAGGAAGGCAGCCTGGGCGACAGCTGGATACACACGTGGCCAGACGCCTCACCAGCGCCCAGCCCTGCTGGTGGCCGTAAACCCCCGTCGTCCACATGTGTACCCAGCGCGTGGCCTCTGGATGTTGCACATGTGGCTCCAGCCATGTGCGCGCGCGCGCGTGTGTGTGTGTGTGTGTGTGTGTGTGTGTGTGTGTGTGGGTGTGTGTGTTAGTTCCAGCTTCTTCGGGCCTCCTGGGGGTGTCTTGGGATCGAACGCTCGAACTTTCCGTTCGGGTTCCCCCTGTGGGTCTCCTCTTGTGGCCGTCCTGGGGCCGTCCTGGGGGTTTCTTGGGTTATCTTGGGGCCCTCTTGGGCGGTCTTGGAGCCCTCCTGGTGGCCCCTTGGGCTGTTTCGGGGCGATCTTCGGGGCCTCTGGGGCCGTTTTGGGTAATGTGAAAGCTTGAGAGGCGAATACGCTGAATATGTACGTTTTCTCACGGGGATGGGACCATTTTTTCATCTTGGGGCCTTCTTGGGGCCTCTTGGAGCGTCTTCGAGGCTTCTTCGGCCGTTCAGAAGCGCTCCTTGACCGTCTTGGGCGCTTGGTGGGGGGCTCCGCGAAGTTCTCCTGATCGTTTGGGTCGCTGCAACCGCCCTGGAGGCCCATGCGGAACACCTTGGGAGCGCTCGAGAGCGCCTGGAAGCGCTTGGTAAATTTGTGGTCCGGGCCCTTACGAAACTACAATCCTGGCTGCAGCAGCATCAGCACAGCCGTGAGCCTGGTGGAACTCCACTTCGTGCCAGAGGCACGGTGGCGGATTCTGGGGCCATCTTGGGTCAGACGGGGCCATCTTTGCCATCTTTGAGGGCATCTTGGATCGTCTTGGCTGTAATGCAGCGCCATCCTGACAATTTGGGAGGCGAGCTTGGTCGTCTCTTGGAGAAGTCAGAGGGGGCTCTCCAGGGGCTCTCTTGGGGCTTTCGGGCGATTTCAGGCCCCTCTTGGATTATCGAAGACGCCTACGGCGGATCACCGCCGCCCCCTGCCTTTTGGGAAGCGCCTATGTGGCCGAACGTTTAGGCCAGACCTGCCAAGCTATCGGACCATGTGTTCCCCGAATCGGTTTTGAAAGCCTTTGGGGAACACGTGGGCATCTTGAAGGTCATCTTGGCCGTCTGGAGGCCATTTTGACCATTTCGGGCCTTCTTGGAGGACGTCTTGGAGGGCTCTTGGACCGTCTTGGAGGCCATCTTGGGCGTCTTGGAGACTTCTTGGGCCGTCTTGGGGGCCTCTCGGGGCCGTGTCTTGGGCCTCTTGGGCGATCTTTGGGGGCACTTGGGCCGCCTCGGGCCGTCGGAAGGCAGAAAAAAAGCAAATGCCACAATCCTTCAACAACCGATGGAAAATCAATGATTTTGGCCTTTTCGGGCCTTCATGGAGGCCCTCTTGGAGGCCTCTTGGGCCGTCTTGGAGGCCTCTGGGGGCCCTCTTGGGCCGTCTTGGGCCGTCTTGGACTCTCTTAGGCCGTCTTGGAGGCCGTCTTGGACCATTTTGGGCGGACTTGGAAGCCATCTTGGGCCATTTTCGCGATTTTTTGAGGGAGCCGTCTTTGGAGCCGTTTTTGGAGCCGTCTTGGAGAGTTTTTTGTGCACGTTGGGGTCCTGGGCAATCCTCCCGGGACCCCGGCGGGACGGGCCGAAGCCCACTGGGGGAGTTCTTTTGGAAAAAGAACCAAAACCCAAACCCAGAGGTCTAGCACGCCAGGTACCCCTGCGATGAATCCACAGGGTGCGGCGGATCTGGTGGCCGACGGCCCATCCCGCCACCGTGCCTTGATATGATATTGTTGGGGACCTTCTGGGAACCCTCTCGGAGCCCTCTCCAGGCTCTCTTCGAGGCTTCTTCGAGCTCTCACAGGGCTGTCGGAGAGTCCCAAGAGGCCTGAAGAGAGCCCCCCAAGGGTACCACGATGCTCTAAGAGTCTTAAGAGGGCCGCATGAGGGCTCCCGGAGCAGCCCGCAACAGTGTCATACCAAAGGTGCCTGGTCTGATGCTGATGAGGGCTTGCTTGGGATTGTGTGGGACCTCTCTGGGGGCTCTCTTGGGGCGCTCTGGCGATTTCGGGCCCCCGCTTGACTCATCGAGGACGCCTACGGCGAGTCACCGCCGGCCCCTGCGTTTTGGAATTGCCCATGTGGCCGAGCGTTGTGGCAAGAGCTCTGCCAAGATATCGGGCCATGTGTTCCCCCGGCCGGTGTAGAAACCCTTCGGGAACACTTGGGGGAGGATGGCGGGGAAGATCAGGAGGAGGAGGAGGAGGAGGAGGAGGAGGAGGAGGAGGAGGAGGAGGAGGGGGCATCTTGGGAGCCTCTGGGGGCACTCTTGGGGCCTCCTGGGAGCTTCTTGGGGGCCTCTTGGACGCAACTTGGGGGTCTAATTGGGCCTTTTGAGGGCCTGTCGGGGCTTCTCGGGGACTTCTTTGGCCGTCTTAGGGCATTCCTGGCCCGTCTGACGCCGTAGGAAACCGTCTTGAGGGTCTCTGGGCCGACTTGGGGCCCTCTTGGGATGAACAAGGGTCTTGGAGGCCATCTTGGGCGTCTGCGAGGCCTCCTGGGCAGTTTTGGGGCCCTCTTGGGGCCCTCTTGGGCGCCTCTTGGGCCGTTCTGGGGCCATCTTGGAGGCCTCTTGGGTGATCTTGGGGCGATCTTTGGGGGCTCTTGGGCCGTCTCGGGGCCCTCTCGGGGCCGTCCTTGGGGCTTCTTGGGGCGTTGTTGGGCCATCTTGGAGGCCTCTTTCGCGATCTTGGGGCTATCTTTGGGCGCACTTGGGCCGTCTCGGGCCGTGGGAACGCCGACACGAGGCAAATGCCACAATCCTTTCGAAAGCCTTCGGGACATCAGTGAGTTTGGCCTCTTCGAGCCTTCCTGGACGCCCTCTTGGGGGCCTCTTGAGCCGTCTCGGAGCCGTCTTGGGCCATCTTGGAGCCATCTTGGGCCGTCTTGGTGGCCTCCTGGCCCGTCTGACGCCGTCGGGGCCGTCTTGAGGGCGTCTCTGAGCCGACTTGGGGCCCTCTTGGGGTGCCCAAGGGCCGTCTTGGAGGCCATCTTCGGTGTTTTGGATGCCCCTTGGGCCGTCTTGGTGCCCTCTTGGGGCAGTCTTGGGGGCCTCTTGGGCCGTTCTGGGGCCATCGTGGAGACCTCTTGGGCGATCTTGGGGCGATTTTTGGGGGCTCTTGGGCCGTCTCGGGCCATCGGACGGCCGAAAAGAAGCACGTGCCAACATCCTTCAAACCATAGGGATCATCAATGATCTTGACCTCTTCGGGCCTTCCTGGGGGCCCGCTCTCTTGGGGGCCTCTTCGGTCGTCTTGGAGAGATCTTGGGGGCCTCTTGAGCCGCCTTGGGCCATCTTTGGGCCTTCTTGGCCCGTCTTGATGGCCTCCTGGCCCGTCTGATGCCGTCGGAAGCCGTCTTGAGGGCCTCTCTGTGCCGACTTGGGGCCCTCTTGGGGTGCTCAAGGGCCGTCTTGGAGGCCATCTTCGGCGTTTTGGATGACCCTTGGGCCGTCTTGGTGCCCTCTTGGGGTCCTCTTGGGAGCCTCTTGGGCCGTTCTGGGGCCATCTTGGAGGTCTCTTAGGCGATCTTGGGGCGATCTTTGGGGGCTCTTGGGCCTTCTCGGGCCGTCGGAAGGCCGAAATAAAGCAAATGCCCAACTGATTCAACAACTTGAGAAATCAATGATCTTGGCCTCTTCGGGCCTTCCTGGAGGACGTCTTGGAGGCGTCTTGGGGGCCTCTTCGGCGCCTCTTGGGTCCTCTTGGTCCGTTTTGGAGGCTTCTTGGGCGGACATGGAGGCATCTTCGACCCTCTTTGGCTGTCTTGGAGGTCATCTTGGACCATCCTGGGCGAACTTGGAGGCCATCTCGGGCCATCTGAGCTGTCATGGAGGCCATCTTGGGCCATCTTTGAGCGGGAAAGGCATTGCCAGCCGGACTTTGGTGGTCCCTTCCGGGCGGCCGGCGGGACAGGCCGAAGCCCAAGGGGGGAGTTCTTCATGGAAAAGAACCAAAACCAAAGACCATAGGATCTAGCACGCCAGGCACCCCTTTGGCAAGACCACAAAATGCGGCGGACCTAGTGGCCTGCGGCGAATCCCGCCACCGTGCCTGGGTAGTGGGTCAGAATCCTTATGGATGCTTCTCGGGATCTCGTCGGTAGGCTGTCGGGGGCCTCTGGAGGCAGTTTGGAGGCCGCTTGGGAGTCTCTTGGGAGCCTCTTGGGAGCGTCCTGGGGCTTCCTGGGGGCCTCTTGGGGGCCTCTTGGGGCCTCTTGGGGCCTCTTGGAAGCCTCTTGGGCCCCCCCCGGGAGCCTCTTGGGGCGGTGCGCTCGAAATGTCTGTCCTTGCTCGCTTTTGGGGGCCCCTCTTGGGGCGTTCTTGGGGCCGTCTTGGAGGCCGCTTGGGCCGTCTTGAAGGTCTTTTGGGCCGCCTCGGCGCCCTCTTCACAGCCTCGTAGGCCGTCTTGGGGCGATCTTTTGGGCCTCTGGGGCAGTTCTGGAGCGTCGGGAAGCCGAATAGGCAGAAACGCGAAGATCTGCCAAAAACCAGCGGAGATTCAATCAATGTTGCCTCTTGGGGCCCCCACCGGGTGGGGAAGGGATCAAAGGGAAGGAGCTTCCCTTCGATTCAATGACGACTTCGACTCCGACCTGGCTCGATGCAACTCGAATTGACGAGCCTGGCGCGCCAAAGAGGGTCTCGGGGGAGTCTCCAGGAATGGAAGGGCACTCTTCGAATGAAAGATCGTCTCTCAGGAACACGCAGGGGCGACGCACCCAGAACTCCCCCTCACGCACGCCGACAGGGTCGGCGGGTTTCCCCCCCGTGCCCACTTTGGATTGTCCCCGGGGTCCGATCACGGGCGAGCGAGGCCGAGATCGAGGAAAGACGAATTGGCATACAGTCGCAGATCGGGGCCTGCCCAGAGTCAGGAGGGGAAAAAGCACACACACAGACACAGTTAATCGTCGATCCCAAGGAAAACATGGGAAAATATGGGAAGTGGGGGGAAGACAAAAGCCCAGAAAGCATGGGAACACATGGGGAATCCTGTTTTTTGTGTGTGTGTGTGTGTGTGTGTGTGTGTGTGTGTGTGTGTGTGTGTGTGTGTGTGTTTATTTGTGTGCCCCAGGGCCCCTGCCCAGAGGCATGCCCCCCGGCCTCAGCGAGCTGGCCACCTCCCTGCACGCCCTGGGCGGGGCGTGCCTGGCGCTGCTCCGGCAGCAGCGCACCGGCTCCGGGCAGCTGGTGCACGTGGGCCGGCACCAGGCCCAGACCTTCTCGCGTCGAGAGCAGACATGAGGAGGAGGAGGAGGAGGAGGAGGAGGAGGAGGAGAGGAGGAGGAGGAGGAGAAGGAGGACGAGGAGGACGAGGAGGAGAGGAGGAGGAGGAGGAGGGGGAGGAGGAGGAGGAGGAGGAGGAGGCGGAGGAGGGAGAGAGGAGGAGGAGGGAGGAGAGGAGAGGAGGAGGAGGAGGAGGAGGAGGAGGGAGGAGGAGGAGGAAGAGGAGAAGATGGAGGATGAGGAGGAGGAAGAAGGGAGGAGAAGAGGAGGGAGGAGGAGGAGGAGGAGGAGGGAGGAGAGGAGGAGGAGGAGGAGGAGGAGGAGGAGGAGGAGGAGGAGGAGGAGGATTCGTTTGTGTCCGCAACTTTAGGTCGCTGGGGGCACTCACGGGGCCTCGGGACCGTCAACAACGACTCACAGGCTGCAGAGCCAGTCCCGTGGAGGGGGTCCAGACCTCTGGGGGCCGCCTCCCGGAAGAATCACGACGTCGGGGATCTGGGGAGGGGGGCCCAGCTCAGGGGGCAAAGTCATGACAAAATCACGGCGTCGGGGACTTGGGGGGGCCCAGCTCAGGGGGCAAACCTCGGCCCCCAGCGGCGCCCATGCCTCGCCGAGCGGGGCCGGGGCGCCCCCCCCACGCCGCTCCCACGTCTCCAGTGCTCCAGGCCTTTCAGATGGAGGGTTCCTCCGAAGGGCTTCGGCGACCCGTCCTCCTCCTCCTCCTCCTCCTCCTCCTCCTCCTCCTCCTCTTCCTCCTCCTCCATTCCTCCTCCTTGTAAATAACTTCTCCCTGCCGCACCCCGAGGCCAGTTTTTAGGGCGGGCCGGGCGTTTCGCCTGAGACTCCCTTACCAATTATGATTCTGAAGCTGAAGAAGTGACGAGAGTTTCACGGATGGAGGGCGGGCCGTTTTCAAAATGTGGCTCTCGCCTTAGCGCCGCGCACATTCGTTTAACAAGCATGCAAGACTTTCACGGATTGAGGGCGGGTCGTTTTCAAAATGTGGCTCTAGCCTTAGCGCCGCGCGCATTCGTTTGAACAAATTGCAAGAGTTTCACGGCTTCCCATGATCAAGGTACCAGAAATTGTGTTTTGGCAGGATTCAGGATTACGCGGGTGCGAACGTTATGTTGATTCGCGGTGTTGAAGTTCCAATAATGGCGCTCTGGCACGTTTCCGGATCGTCAAGACGCAGCAGTCAGGTTGATACGTGGCGTTGAATTTCCGAGCACAGTGTTTTGGCATGCTTCAGGATCTTAAAACGGTTATTTTTCAACGAGGCAGTCCCCTCAGTGGCACTGAAGAGGGAGCTTGGAGGGAGGGTTCATTCCAACATCGTTGATGACCCTTGGGTTTACACTGGTCCTCCTCCTCCTCCTCCTCCTCTTCCTCCCTCCCTCCCTCCCTCCCTCTCTCCCTCCCTCCCTCCCTCCCTCCCTCCCTGCCCCCCCTCGTCCTCCTCCTCCTCCTCCTCCTCCTCCTCCTCCTCTTCTTCTTCTTCCTCTCCTTCTCCTTCTCCTTCTCCTCTCCTTCTCCTTTCCTTCCTCCTCCCTCCTCCACTTCTCCTCCTCCTCCTCCTCCTCCTCCTCCTCCTCCTCCTCCTCCTCCTCCTCCTCCCCCTCCTCCTCCTCCTCGTCCTCCTCCCCCTCCTCGGGTTGCTTACGGTCCCAGGGGAAACCGTGCACTCAGATGGTCGGAGGATCGCGCCGCCTCGTCGGTGCATCAGCGATGCGGCTCGATGTGGAGCCCGATTTCCTCCACGCCGGCGGCGCCGATGCGATGTATCGCTGGCGTCGCCGCGATGCATCGCCGATGCATCGGCGATGCAGTGGCGATGCGGCGTCATCGTTCGAACCCATCTGCTCGGACCACCTCTGCGAGGCGGCCTCCAGATGCCTCCCCCCCTGTGCCGTTCCACCCCCCCCCTCCACCTCCGCCGCGAAGTTCCCCCTTGAGGCCGCCCTCTTCTCGCGCGACGTGGCGGAGCTCCAGCCGCCGGCTCCGCTGGCCAGCCCGCTGCTGTCGCTGCAGGACGGCCGCTACATGCGGCTCCTCGGCAGGGGCCACAGCGCGCACGACGCCTGGGCGCTGCTGCACGCCACCGGGCAGCGGGGCAGCCTCTGGGACCACGTCGGCGGCAGCCACGAGAGGGCGCGCGCGCACCTGGGGGCGCACTCGGAGGAGGACCTCCGGCGGCAGCGGGAGGAGCTGGTGGCAGGCGCGGCCAGGTTTGCATATGACGACCTGGCCAAGGTGCCCAGCCCCCCTCGGGCCATGAAAAGATTGTGCGACGTTCGGCTTTTCGCTACTTGTTCGCCCTCCGGGGGCCCTTGCTGGCCCTCGGGGCCGTCAAAAAACGACGCAGGATGAAAACCCGGTCGCGGGGAATGTGTCGAGACCTCTTGGGGTCGACGTTATGAAAACTCCTTGACGTCGGGGGTCTGCGCTGGCCGCACGCAGGAGAGACCCTTCGCCGGAGCGACCTTTGGTCCGAGGTCTCCGCGGCGGTGTGGCTTTTTGGCCCGCCGTCTTCCTTCGGTTTCGGCCCTCGGGGGCAGGTCACGGGGCCCCGGGACCGTCAAGCATGGGTCCGGAGCGAAAAACCATCTCTGGGGAAGGGGGCGGGACTTCTTCTGGTCGGCGTCCCCTCAACATACTTATACTATGGGTTCGTCGCCCCCCCAGGGGCGACGCGCGCACCGAGAAATCTTATAGTATATGCGTCGTGGCGGGCTCTTTCTGGCCACACCGCGCGAGAAACGATATGCTACAAGATGGGTACTATATGTTCGGGTCGCACGCGCGCCTCCGAGGCGGACATACTAGTATTGCGAAGGCCTTCCGGCCGGTGCCGCCGACCCTGGAGGGCGACCCATGCGTTCTCTAATGTGGCGGGGGGGGCCTCTTGGGGCTTCCTGGGGCCTCTTGGGGGTCTCGTGGTGGCCTCTTGGGGGCATCTTGGGGCTTCCTGGGAGCCTCTGTCGCCGAGGGCTCGTCGGGGCCCCCGTCTGGGCACCCTGTTGGAGCCGTTTGGGGAGCCTCTGGGGCCATCTTGGAGGCATCTTGGGCGGTCTTGAGGCTCTCTTGGGTCATTTTGGGGCTCTCTTGAGGCCTCTTGGGCTATCTTGGGGCAATCTTGGGGGCATCTGGGGCCGTCTTGGAGCGTCGGCAAGTTGAAACGGCGAGAACGCCAAAATCTGTCAAACACTTTAAGGAAATCATGGATTTTTCCTTATTCGTGCCCTCTTGGGAGTGCTCTTGGAGACTTCTTGGAGCGTCTTGGCAATCTCTTGGGCCGTCTGGAGGCTACTTTGGCGTCTTCGACCGATGGTTCGGCGATTCGGGGCGCTCTGGAGCCGTCTTGGAAGCCTCTTGGGGCACTCTTGGCCAGTCTGGGGGCTTTTCTAGGTCCCGGGACATCCCGGGGGGGATGCGTATCTGCCCCCCCCCCCGGACCCGAGACCAGAACAACCACTTTACAACCAGATGGGTTACTTTACAACCAACATAGGATTGGAAAGTATGGTTTTTCATCGAGAACGTCCACTTTGCAACCAGAACGGCCCACTTTACAACCAGAACGGACCACTTTACAACCAGAACGGGCCACTTTACAACCAGAACGGACCACTTTACAACCAGCTCAGAGTGGCCGTGCGTGTTTGGCCGTGCGTGTTTTCCTTTCGACTTAGCTACGACGTTGCTCAATTTCCCTTTGCCTTCGACTCAGCTACGACGTTGCTCGATTTCGCTTTGGTTTCGTTTTGGCTGGCGCGCCTGAGGGGAGGGCGACGACGACGACGTCGACGACGACGACGACGAACAGAAGAGCATCGACGACGACGACGACGACGACGACGACGACGACGACGACGACGACGACGACGGCGGCGACGACGACGACGACGACGACGTTCACGACGAACGGAAAAGCATCTTCCACACGCCGACAGGGTCGGCGGATTAGTATGTCTCTGTGCGTCCCATCTGGGGCCCTGCATGGAGGAAAAGCCACTTCGTCGGCTGTCTGGAGTGCGCAGCTTTGGGGGGGGGGCGGCGCGGGCCAAATCTGAGCAAGCAGGCCGCCACTGCCCCCTCGCAGAGGCAGCGGCTGGCAAGCCGCCGCACCAGAGGCCACCTTTGCCCGGGGCCACTCCCTGGCAGCCACCGGCGTGTGTTTTTTCCATCCGCGTTCCCAGACTCCCTTGAGCTATGACAAGATCACGCCAGGAGGTTTCTCCCCATTTTTGGGCTCTGGGGGCCCTTGCTGGCCCTCGGGGCCGTCAAACAACGACTCAGGACGAAAAGCGGGTCCCGGGGAATGGGTCCAGACCGCTGGGGGTCGACGTCATGAAAAAACATGACGTCGGGGGTCTGGGTTCCCAGAGGTTCCGACCGCCTCTGTTCGCTCTGGGAGCGTTTGTGATGGTTTCCAGGCCCGCCGACGGGCCCCGAGGGCCGGCATCGAGGAACGACAGCTGGTTGACAAGAATCGTATGGTCGGAGATTTGGGGGGCGTTCCCCCCAGACCCCCGACGACATAAATTTCTCATCACGTGGACCCCCAGCGGTCTGGACCCCTTCCCCAGGCACGGTTTTTCATCCCGCCTCGTTTTGTGACGGTCCCGAGGGCCTGGTAAGGGCCCCCGGAGGCCGAAAAAGCAGCGAGGAAGCTCCCCGTCGTGATTTTTCAGCTCGAGGGGGTCTGGGCCTTGAGTCTGGCCCGGCAAGGCGTTCTTGTCCAAGGGCATCGACTGGTTCGTGGAGGAGCTGCGCCCGGTCGACGCCGAGGCGCTCCACAAGGCGCGCGCGGCGCAGGCCGAGGACCTGAAGGAGCGGCACCGGGCCGCCGTCGAGAAGGTGCTCCGCGTGGCCGAGGGCATCGCCGAGCTCGAGGAGCCTAGGCACAATGAACAGCGTGGCCTAGGAACTCCTCCTCCTCCTCCCCCTCACTCCCTCCCTCCCTCCTCTCCCTCCTCTCCCTCCTCCTCCTCCTCCTCCCTCCTCCTCCTCCTCCTCCGCCTCCTCCTCCTCCTCCTCCTCCTTCTCCTCCTCCTCCCCGAGATAAGGTGTTACTGCGGCCCGTTGGTTGTTACTGCGACCCGGTGGGTGTTAGTATGACCAGGGGTCCTCCGGAGTGTATTACTATCGAGTACAGTGAAAGGGGGGGGGGTCCAAAAAGGCTCCGCCCCCCCCCCACACCGAAGAGCCTCTCGGAAGAGCCTCTGA